CTTCTAGCGGCGGCGAGCAAGCCGCCGACTACCTCCAGCAAATAGTTGACGAAGCGGAGGAAAAGATTCATTTTCTCTTTACCGCCGACCAACGTGGTTTTGAGGTGGCCAATATGGCCTTAAAGATTAAATATGGCGAAGTGGTGGAAGATAAGAATGTAAAGGCTGCCACTCAAATCGTGGCGGCTAACAAAAAGAGACCTAATCGCCCCACCCATGCGAGCTCCCGTAGCGACCCTCCCCCTCGTGGTCGAGGCCAAGGAGAGCGTAATTGGAACACGTGGCGCCGTGACGGTGACGGGCGTTGTTTCTACTGTCGCGAACCCGGACATGGGATCGCGGATTGCCCCCAGCGTGGCCAGGGCGCCAATAGGCCCACTAAGATTGTGTGAAGATCGATGTATGATTATGCCGTTATATTTTTTCAGATCTACGAGCAACTGTCTTATTTAAAAATGATTGCCCTTTTTACTTTACCGATGCGATTCTACTAACAAAAGAGAGAGAGAGAGAGAGAGAGAGAGAGAGAGAGAGAGAGAGAGAGAGAGAGAGAGAGAGAGAGAGAGAGAGAGAGAGAGAGAGAGAGACAGAAAGAAGATGAAGAAAGAGGGAGGAGGAGAAGGGGTTCAAGAGAGTGAGAGAAGAAAGGAAGGCAGGAGGTAATGCAAAAGAGACGAGTAAAAAAAAAAAAAAAAAAAGATGATAAGATACGATTACGTGGCCTCAACACTCACCCTTCTTCGTACGCTCCTCCCTGCACCCCTTACCAGAGCTGGACCTCCTCGCCGCTCTCGACACTTCACCCACCGGCACACCTTTCATGCGTGGTCGCATTGGTGCGTGCGCCAGCTGGTGGGCCGCCTGGTGTGATAGCCGCTTCATCATGTCAGTAATCACATCCGGCTACCGTCTTCCGTGGGCATCCTCGGAGCCCACTCCCCACCACGCGGCAAACCACTCGGGTGCCATTCAATTTACCGCATTTGCGGTCGAGGCAGTCACCGAGCTACTAGCGACAGGAGCGGCCCGAATGGTGCCCCCGTCGGAACCCCTCACATGCGTCAGCCCTTTAAATGTAGTCGTCCAACCTTCAAAAAAGAGACTCATATTGGACCTTCGACACGTGAATACATTCTTGTCCGTCCCACGATTTCGTTACGAGGGCCTTAACCGGGTGCCCGACTTGGTGCATCGAGACGATTGGCTATTCACCATCGATCTGAAGGCCGGATACCGCCATGTGGACATCCACCCCGCATATTGGCGGTTTCTTGGTTTCACCCTCCAAGGACAACGCTATCAGTTCCTATCCCTGCCTTTTGGGCTGGCCACTGCGCAGTTAGTCTTCACCCAACTAATCAAGCAGCTCGCAAAGCGCTGGCGCAGCAAAGGCATTCGACTTATCCCATATGTTGACGACATCCTTTTTATAAATACCACTCGAGCTGAGGCCCTTCGCAATCGAGCTATCATCTTGGCCGACCTCACAGCGGCCGGATTCGTCGTCAACTCAAAAAAATCGCAGCTCGAGCCAAGTCAGTGCCTCAAATTCCTAGGACTCAGACTGGACACGCGCACAACCTCTTTCTCCGTCGACGCTGATCGACGAGAGCGATTTCTTGTCGAGCTCCAACAGACTTGCACGCTTGGCGGGCGGGGGCGGCGCATCCCGGTCCGACGCGTCGCTCGCATTACTGGCATGCTTGCCTCTATGGCGCTCGCCCTCGGCACCCTCGCGCGTGCCTTTTCGCACAATCTACTTTCACAAATCTCGGATTGCTCATCCTGGGGAGACTCAGTCCTCTTGAACGCGGAGTCAATTGACGAGTTGCGCTTTTGGCTCTCCCAGTTCGATGTGTTCAACGGTTCGTGTTTTCACAACCCATATCTATACGACATCGTGATGTATGTGGACGCGAGCGACAGCGCTTGGGGGGCTTGCTATTCCGCACCCGATGGTCGCGTCGGATCGCTTTCATCACACTTACCTCAGGCTCTTGTCGCCTCGTCCAGCACGCTTCGCGAACTCGCGGGAATTCTCTGGGCCCTCTCCTCCTTTGCTGACGAGGTTCAGCGCTGCCACATCCTTCTGCGCAGCGACAGCCAGGCAGCCTATTACATTTTGAGGAAAGGGGGCTCACGTCGTTCCGAGCTGACAATTGTATGCCGGGCCATCATTCAGCTCTGTGTGCGTCACAAGATTCGACTGACGGTCCAATGGATCCCGCGCGAGCTCAATACCGAGGCTGATACATTGTCAAAACTGGAACTTCACGACGACTACTCTCTCGCGCGTCCTTGGTTCCTTTTGCTCGAGAGGCGTTGGGGGCCTCATTCCATTGACCTGTTCGCCTCACCCACCAATGCACAGCTGGCTCGTTATTGCTCCCTGGAGTTTTCGCGAGCGGCCCTCGCGCAGGATGCGTTTTCAATTAGTTGGTTGGGGGAAAATTGTTACGCGTTTCCACCACCACCCCTTATTCCCGCCGTTCTCGCCCACGCTCGCCGCTCAAGAACCTCCCTCACCCTAGTGATCCCTCGCTGGCCTAGTGCCTTTTGGTGGCCTCTTCTACACCCAGACCGTTGGGCTAGTGATATCACCGCAACCCTTAGTCTTGCCTCTGGTTCCGACTGTTTGTGTTTTGGAAGTGATCCTTGGGCATTTAGTGGGGCTGGACTTCCTAACTCTCCTATGTACGCCCTTCGAATAATATTCACTAATAATTAATGCTTTTCGTTACGCAGGTCACCAGCTCGCCCCCCTGCTCTTGGACCTCTTGACGCTCACCGTCGATCTCCGTGCTCAGTCTACAATTCGCACGTACGAGCCATATTGGCGGCAATATCGCGCGTTTTGTACCATGCACGCTCTTCCTTTACTTCCTTCAAGTGATTTGACCGCGGCGTTATTCCTACTGCACTCGATCCGCAATGGCGCCCCTATTTCGGCTATCCGTTCGACATGTTCCGCCATTTCGTGCGCCCATTGGCTCGTTGGCGAACCGTCTCCTGTTCACGGGCCACTCTCTAGCCAAGTGAAAGAGTATGCACAACGTCATTGCGGACGACCATCTAAGGCTAAAGAGCCTGTACCCCCAGAAAAAATCTACGATATCTGCGACATATATTTTTCGTCATCCGACCCGGCCACATTCCAGCGGGGGCTGATCCCTCTTCTCATGTTTTCGGCCTTCTTACGCTTCTCTGACCTGATTTCCCTCCAGTGGCATCAGATCGAGTTTGACAGGGACTGCATGTGGCTATTTATTCCTCGCTCCAAGACGGACCAAGCCGGCAGAGGTGCTTGGGTCCCAGTGGCAGCATCCTCTGCCCGCCACTGCCCTGTCTCTCGTGTCCAATAGTTTCTTTTCCTCGCGGGCTACTCTCAAGATTCTACCGGCCCTCTTATCCGCGTGTTCCAACCGGGTGCCGGGGCTTCCCCTTCCGACCGTTCCCCTTCGTATGCTACCGTGCGGGGCTGGTGCCGCGATGGCTTTGCCCGCGTCGGCCTTAACCCGGATCTCCTCGGCACTCATTCCTTCCGTAAATCGGCGGCAACTGTAGCTGTCGACGTCGGAGTGCCGGACAGACTCTTCAAAGCCCTTGGTCGGTGGCGTAGTGATAGGGCTAAGGAGCTATATATTACACAACTCGATCGCGAGCTTGTCGATGCCTCTCGCGTACTACAGGACCCTCTCCGATCTAGCCTGACCGATCGGTACTTGACCACATTCGAGAGGGGTCGCCGCCGACCTCTCCCCTGATGTCTCGTTCGACCTATGACGACTGCACTGCACACTCCTCTGAAAGTCGTGTCACAATATGAGAAATTTTTTGTAACAAAAAAAATTACAGATTGTGGTTCGACTTGAAGAGGGGTTTGCTGTAAAGGAGACATTCTCCTTTACCTTTCGGCAAGTCCTCGGGACCTACCACCTAGTCTCATTTGCAGTTTTCACTTCTCTAGTTCCCACCCTCCTCTCCCTTATACACTGGATCGCTTGTGCGTATCTTGTTCCCGTTTAGAACACCATATGTATTCCATATTATCGAGTGTGCTGTATACTTGAGATGTGAAATGCTATGACAACTGCACTATGACGACTGCACTGCACACTCCTCTGAAAGTCGTGTCACAATTTATAAGCGCATATGCGCTACTATCCAGGGTATTACGGTATGAATAGAATCGCATTTCAAGGTTCGTACCCTCTGTAGTCTGAAGTCTCATTATCCGCTAAGTCACTAGTCTGATTTTCTCAGTATTCAAAACAATGTAAGTCTGAAGTACTCATGTAACTCTGAAAAATCAGGATTACTAGGAAAATAGTCTGAAATTTCAGACAATCAGACTAAAACAGTATGATAAAATCAGCCCTGGACCCAACGATCACTCCCATCACCCCCTATAATCTCCTTTCAGTACTACACACTTCAGCTACAACCGGGATTCCTTGTGACTCCCCGTCAATTTCTTTCAGGAGTCTTAAACTTCTACTAAATATACGGCTGAAGCTGCGCGCGCACGGCGCCATCAGGATACTTGGCAGTGTGGACATTCCCGTAAAACATCCAGGGACTCTTTGAAAGCTCCTTCAGGACCGACACAAACTTTTTAGTCCGTTCCGCCGGTTTCTTCCCCAGTGTGCCGATGCAATGCCAGCTGGTCAAGTACTCGTACATGCACGGCAGGTCCAACACCACGGGGCCGTTTTTCCCCTCTGGTGCTTTGTGCACGTGAGTCATGGTTGGCGGTGCATTGTCCAGCATCTGAAAAGCCCACGTTTCATACTCGAGCCACACAGGCTGGCCTTTTCTCCTGAATATCACACATCAGTGAAACGGGGGTTAATCTCGAGAACATTATAACAGGGTTACCAGTGTGCATCACAGGACAGAGTTGAGCTCTGAACACGGAAGAAGATAATATAATCGGTATCAAAAGAGTACCCATTGGCTCTCTCTGTTAGAGCTGCGGAAATCAGGCCTGGCAGACTCACTTGTAGATTTTCAATATCATGTCCGTCATGCCGGTTTGGTCCCCGACGTTCGTACCAGCTTGAGATGCATTCTTGGGAATCTCATAATCGCCAACCAGCAAGGCGGCGATGGTGACTGTTGAAAGAGAAATCGAGAAGAGAGGGGGATAGGGGGGAAGATCACGGGTTGAGGGAGGAGAGGGCAGGGATGGGAGTGGATGGTGGAGATGAGGTTGGCGCTTGGCGGTGATGCATTTGTTGGGGTGAGACTGATATAGACAGTGAGTTCGGGTTAAGAAGCGACGCGCCAATGGGATTTACATGTGTCGTTGAAATTCACGGCGGAGACAAGGTGAGACGTTTTCCGAGGGTTCTTCATATGGGAGAGATTTTTCGGGTATGGAAACGTGAAAACGTGGAATCTCAAGTTTGTAAACATAAGGGAGAGTTAATTGGGACTGACCAGGGTTTGAAGAGTGGGCGATCGACACCAGCGCCGCCGCGAGGAACGCTGCACACACGCGATGAGAGGCGAGATTAACGATCTGGTTACCATGCCTGGTAAAGAGCTGACAAGGAATGAGCTGGCATTGTTGCGGATTCCCGCCTGGGGTAACGATTATCAATTAGTAGCGGTTACCGAACGGTACCGATAACCTTATAGTAACGCTTACCGAATAGTAAGACGCAGCGAGTACGAGTGACAGCCATGAGTTAAGTAGTAGTCAACTCGAAATCGGTTTGCAAGAAGGAGCAAGTTACTGGTTCTAGTAGAGAGGTAAACGTGATGCGGGTTACTTCTGGGTGGGTTTCTAGGGACTGGAATCACCCTCATTTTTAGTCACTTTGCGGCTCCAGGATGGAGGGACCAGAGAGACCAGCGTTACGGCTGAAGGTGGAGATTGGCGGATGGGATGATAGGAAATTCCGCTAAGGTATCTCAGCCGGGCAATTAATCAAATCCAAACTCGGATTCAAGGCGCATCGCGTATTATCGCGAACCATCAGTAAGTCTGGCGAGCGCATAAGTCGGAATGACATTGGCGTCGAATAAAAAATCGTCATTCTGTCGACTCCGGCCTGTTATTGGTCGCAACTCAATAATAGCAGCTCTAGGAGAGAGAAGAGGCGAGCCAATGAGCGATAATGCACTTGATTGTGACGCGTTGATGTACCTCGCTCGAGCCAATAAGGATGGTGGAATCAGTAATGCTCGCACCTGGTTGTGACGCGTCCTACACGTTCGTCAAGCCAAGCTATGGTGGTAAGCAGGATGGGCGGAATCAGGACAATCAGTAAAAGAAGCAAATCAGCAAACCAGGAGAATGAAGCCGTTGAGTAAAGGTGCAGTGTGCTCCTACACAGTAAAGTGTGGTTCTGGATTTCAACCGCTTTCGAATGTAACGCACCAGAACAGACCGAGGTATGTGAATTGAGATTGGTTGGCCATCTTCCAGCCCCCTTTTGCTTCCTCGCCCATAGCAGCGGTGCAATTCGGTTTTCAACTTTTCAACGTGTATGGTGCGCGCAATGCAGCCGACTTCGAGACAATAGCTGCACTTGAATGTGACGCGTTTGTCGTTCATGAGTTTCTACCCATCAGATTGTGGTTCAGCATAACCGTTCTCAAACTTAAACGCCAGTCTCTCAGCCATTTATAGGAAAAAGACAACTGGATTTTTGCGAGCTGGTATTCTGGAGCATCAAAACCACTTCACTCACGTTTCTTCCCTGCTAAACACGGATATTTGCAGGAGCTTTATTCCTAGCTCTTCTCACCCTAATCAGCTCTTTTTTCATTTATTCCCTTATCCCTGATTCATCTCCTCTCCGCAGTCCTTCAGGTTGGAACCACTTCATCTCGCCTCGGAATCTGGAAAGGTTCGGGGTCGGCGCAAGCTGGTCTCCTAGGCCCTCCTGAACTGACCGCGCACGGCTCCATCGGGATACTTCTTGGTGTGAATGTTCCCGTAAAACTCATGCGGTTGCTTCGTGATCCTCTTGAGTGTCCACAGCAGAGCCCGCGTGCGCTCGTCCAGGGGCTCGCCCAGGGATCCCTGGCAGACCCACTCGCTGCTGCTCTTCTTCTGATACGTGCACGGCAGGTCCAGCAGCTTTGCTCCGTTCCGCCCCTTCGTGCCGTTGTGCACGTGGGTCATGGTCGGCGGCATCTCACCTTCCAGGTTCGACGATTTTACCAAATACGCCACGTATATGGGCTCCCCGTTGCTCCTGATCATGGGCGGTGTAAGTAAAAAAAGGTGTCAGGTTTGTATTTGTGTGTTTTGAAAACGTTAACTCAAATCCAGAACTTTCAAGAGAATGTATGAATCATGACAACGACTCACTTGCCACAAATACAGCACTGCGTAATAGGCGGTAGGCACTCACTTATGAATGTCCAGCTTCATATCCACCGTGCCGTGCTTGTCGCCAACAGTGTTCCTGGCAGCTTCAGAGTTGTTCTTGGGAATCTCGTTGGCCCCAACCAGCGTGGAGGTGAAGCTTTGTGTCCAGTGGGGACCGAGTGGGTGAGAGGAGGGGAGACAGCGGAGGGTGAGAGGAGGGGGGACAGGGAGGGTGAGGGGAGGGGGGACAGGGGAGGTGAGAGGTGAGGAGACCGAGGGGGGCGAGAGGAGGGGAGACCGAGGGGGGTGAAAGAAAGGGAGACCGAGGGGGTGGGGGAGGGGAGGGAAGGAGGGGAGAAGGGTACAGGAAGTCAGTTGGGGGTAGAATGAAGTCTAGAAAGTGGAGAGTCTGGAAGAGGTGAACGGGTGAGGAAGTGGAGACAGAGGAGTTGGTGGGGAAGGCACGAAGCACTGACTAGGTTTCCAGCTGTCGCCTCTGTTGTCGTCGTCGTCGCCTGCGAAAGCCACCGCCACCATCGCCGCGAAGAAAGCTACTGCAGGAAAACGCACGCGGCGAAAACGGACGATCATGTTACCACATGCGGCGTAAATCATGTCAATTCGCGCAGAATCATTGCTATAGCAGCTGCAGGCAGGTTGCAAACAATGAGTTGAAGGATGAACACTGGCTGACAGGCCGTAGTGTGGGGTTACTCGAGTTCATACTAATCATCACTTGGAGTGGGTAGCTTACCTAGTATCAGGACGCGTCGAGCCTGAGTGAAAGCCATTACTCGGAAGCGAGTGGAAGCTGGTGGAAGCTGAGAGCGGAAGAGGAAGATATAACTTGGCTGTTATAGAAGAGAGGAAGGCGGATTCTAGCTGGATGGAATCGTAGGGACGCGAAACACCCTCTTTATAGCTACTACGTCGACAGTCTGGAATGCGTGAGCAAAGCACTGACAAGGCATCGAGACTGGAGATGCGTCGTGCGCGCCTCGCATAATCGCGAAGCGCGAACGAGAAGTACGCGCGCGAAACACTCGAGAAGTAATCGCATCCAGGAAGAGCCGCGGCGCATTTTCGTGATCGAGTAGGTACTTCTGTGCGAGGAGGCGCGTCGTGCGCGCCCTCAAATAATCGCGACGCTCGGGAAAACTTTAGTGAGCTGAGCAGGATGGTCGCCACGTCAACAACTATGTCGCGCACAGGAAAGCTCGGTTTTGCCCGTCACTAGTAGCTCCCGAAATCCCCATCACAAAAATTCGGCGATTCTGGAAGGAGCCGCAGGGTGCATATGCACAAGCGAGGCAATAATGTGATGATTGACTGAAATTATATGGCTGGTAGGCAGTAGAAATGAAAGCCATGGCGGTAGGTAACACATGAACGTGCCCGTGCCACTGTCACTGGTTGTGACAGTACGGCGCGTTATGAGAGTTCAACAAAGCAGGGAAGTAAACAAATTCCATGTCTGTTTCCGAGGTTGAACGGGATTTGGAGGCATTGCACTTCGGTGTGGATGGGTTGAATCTCGTGGACCCGGCGGCGAATGCGCTACGCTCGTGGCTGTTCGTGGTTTTCTTGCACTAAAATATGTACCGTTTAGTAGTGCGTGTTAACGGCGCGAAACATTCAGTAAAGTCCAACCAAGGCACGATAGGGGAATGAAATACTACATAATAACATCTGTCCTCTTCGTCCAGTGGAAAATCGTTTTCAATCTTCACTGCTTTCCTGTTCTAACACTGGGTGCACAGCTGTGGGCTACATTCACTTTCTACCTTAAAACAGTACATACAACCTTTCGCAACAACTCAGCAGCATATCAAAACCCATAGATGCAGGGGCAGGGAGGCAATATCAGACCAGAAGCCACACACACAGCACAATACCGTAGGAAATTTACCTGAAAGGTTGAAAAAGAGGACCTACCGTAGTATATACAGGCATCTCAGACCATAACAAAAAATGTGAGGCCATCATAAGCACACACAGCTTTAGCTTTACACGCTACCACCACTTCGTCAACTCTCTGCCACGTCAGCATCTCCTTGTCCCTGTTTGTCCCCTCCGCCAACCGGACCCCCCTCTTCTCGCCTGCCCTGAGCACGCCAGTACTCGTCCAGCGGTTGTTTGAAGAGGAAGTAACCCGAAGCCACGCCCACCCTGCAGAAAATAAGGACGAGGGGGATGGTAGATTGAGCGGAGTACCAGCTATCCAGAGGCTTCTTGAAGAGGAAAAGGCCCGATGCCACGACCACCTTGCAGAAAACAAGGGAGAGGGGGCAGGCATTAGGGGGAGAGGCACAGGTGGGCGAGGGGGATGGTAGACTGAGCGAGCTGGGTGCGAGGGGGATTGTACAAGGGAGAGGGGGGTGGTAGACTGGCTGGGTACCAGCTATCCAGAGGTTGCTTGAAGAGGAAGTAGCCCGATGACAGGTAAACGGAAAGGTAGGTAGATTGAGATGTGCTCAGCGTGTATTGAGTGGGTGCTGGGCGTGGAATGGAATTAGCCCGAAGCCATGCGCATTCTGTCTAGCTGAGATGGGAACGGGTAAGGAAGAAGGGGAGAGTGGGTACTGGGAGTTTAGAAAGGATCGGGGGAAAGTGCATGGGAAGGGACAGGGGGGAAATGAGAGACAATAGGAAAGAAGGAAATTTAAGAAAAAAGGGAATGGAGGGGAAAAGTAGGACGAGACGAAACAAACAGGCCAGTGAATGAGTTGGGTGGTAGAAACGGAAGCTGTGGAAGGTTGACAGGAAATCTGCTGGGTGCAACTCCCATAAAGTGGCAATTTTTTTGGTCGACTAAAAAATCTACTCCCATTCTGTGCGCACGGGACCAGCACTGGCATGCGCACATGGGAAAGAGAGGGATGCAGAAGAGGGTGATGGAAAAAAAGGACTTTAGAGACCACAGGACTGAACGGAGGCGGCTCCTGCTAGCGTGAATCATACAGTACTCTAAGGATATTGGCGCCGCTTCAATCTCTAAGGAAGCGGGCACTCGCATCGATTTTGGCGATTGATCCTGCCGCATGGTCGGTTTTTGACGGGTTTCAAAAAGGTCAGAAAAGTTTTTGCAGGTTTCCAGTGCGGTAGCAGATCGATTTTGCACGATCGATCGCCAAACTTGATGCGAGTGTCCGCGTCCTAAGAAGGAAAAACTCACAGCATCGCAATCGCGACTTGGTCCAACGGAAGGCGAGGTCGCCGGTACATTTGTGGCGGCTGATCTCTGCGTACCAGTTACCGTTGGCGGCTGACGATTAGCCGTCAAAATGGCGGCTGTTAAATGTTGATTGTAACCTGTTAGCCTGTGTGCGCGGACTGTTGAGAGGACAGAGTCGTGGAAGCGAAAAGAGGAAACACTGGGTAGACGAGGGAACGTGACTGCGAATGACGCGTTGGGAAAACGGACTACTAGAGGACTACACGACAACGGCCGCCGCTATTCCATCCCTGAATTCGAACTAAACACTAACTACTAATACACACTATTGGGAGACGCACGAAAAAAACGAGAGAGCTCATTGTAGTCCGAGAGCTAGTGAGAGATGGAGAAGCAGTGCACACCAACAAGCATCAAGCTGGATTCGGGGTGTCACTGCTGCACAAGATATTATGCAATGCGGTGAGATGCGGTGCTGTGCGTGAAAGAATGATATGGTTACATTCTAGAACGTTTCAGTAGGGTCGAGGAGAGAGGAATTGCTCGTGACATGGCAGAATGCAATGGGTAGTTCGTATGAGAAATTTGTTTAGTTGGTGAACTGACGGTTGCAATTATTAACGATTCGCTCATCTGCGCGTACAAGAAGCCTGTACAGATTTAGTGGGGTAACCACTCTCGCCGAATCCAGTTTCCCGTGGCGACGTTCGTCGGATCGGTAACCTGGATTTCGGTTTCTGACATCCCCAAGGTTCTCGGCTCACTCCTTGACAAGCCACACTTCCACTCCATCCCCACCACCACTGCCTCGTTTCGAATTTGAGCGGCAAATCTGGGAACTTCAGCGAGGTACCTAACGACGAGCCGCGCCTGGTTGCCCGTTTTTTTGGAGTTCAATTCTGATTCTTACTCGTGTAACACTCGCGAAAGCTCTTGCGAATACTCTATCTCAACCGCGCTGTACCCCGTATCGCCATGGACGCGATGCGGGAGAATCTCGCGTATTTACTCGACCAGCGGCTGTACGAGTCGGCTGAGATCCTCGTGAGTGGCTGCGACGGCTAGTAGCTACAGTGCTTTCAGAGATAACGGTTAAATGGCCGTCACTGCATACTGACGCACTCTAGAGTAGGATACGAGGCGCAATGACGCGTCATACATGCTCTCCCTCATGGGTCACATCTATATGATACGATACGATATTGCGAAACCTTTCAGGTCCACCCTTTCCCCATTCCGGTCACCGACAAGTCTCTGTGCTTTCCTTCCCACGCTCTTTCAGGGAAGCTTCCTGGTCTCTGCAGCCGGGCCGGGCAGCGACGTGCCGGCAATATCGAGGGCGGAGAATCTCGTGCTCTACGCGGAAGCGCTCTTCGGGCGGCAAGATTTCCGCCGCGCGCTGGTGGGTGCGCGGAGAGTGATAATGCGCTGGTGGGTGCGCGGAGAGAGAGAGTGCGCTGGTGGGTGCACGGAGAGAGAGAGTGCGCTGGTGGGTGCGCGGAGAGAGAGAGTGCGCTGGTGGGTGCGCGGAGAGAGAGAGTGCGCTGGTGGGTGCGCGGAGTGAGAGCGTGACGGGGTGTGCGCCTCAAAACAGTCCTTGCCACCGCAACGCATTGACGCATCAGCTATGCCCCCCTTCTCCCCCCTCCCCTCCTCCCACCCCTCTCTTTCCGCTTGCCCTCTCTCTCCTCCCCTCTCCAAGCCCTCTCTCGCCTCTCTCCCAGAATTTGAGATCCCTCAAAGCTCCCCCCTCCCTCCCCTCCCTCACAGAACCGATACCACCAGACAACTTCTGAGACGAGCCCCCCCTTCTCCCCCTTCCCCTCTCCTCACCCCCTCAGAACCTCTACCGCCAGGCACAGCAGCTCTGCAAGGTGGCCGGCCACACGGGCGGCAGCAGTCGGACTGTTCCTGGCAGCCCTGCCACTGTAGCAAGCGCCGGCCTTGGGACTCCCGCCCAGTCAGGCGGCTACAGTGCAGGGGGGGCGGGGGCGGGCGGAGGGGGAACGGGGGGAGGATCAGGGGGAGTGGGGCGGTATGGGGGGTTGGGGCAGTCAGGGGGAGGGAGTGGGATCGGGGGGATTGGGGGAGGGGGGAGACCGGGAGCGGGGGGGAAGTCTATGGGGTGTTTGCCTATGGTTTCAGGGGGAGCGTGTGTGGGAGGAGCGGGGGGAGGGGGAGGGGGCGTGGTTGGCGGAATGGGGGGTGGAGGGGCGAGCATGGTGGCCTTGGATACAGACGTGGGGAAGGCAGAGGTAAGATGAATGAAGGGCACTATCTGTCCAGCCCCCCTCCTCTCCCCCTCTGCTCCCTTTCCACCTCCATTTCATCTCTTCCTCTCCACTCTTCACAATGTCTTCCTTGCTGACCGTTTTTCACTCTCTGCTTTCCCAATGTGAAGCACAAGCCCTAATCTTCTCCCATCCTCCCTCCCTCCCTTCATCCTCCCTCACTCCATCTCACCCACACATGCCACACGTGCCCCACATGTGCCACACGTGCCCCACACATGCCACACGTGCCCCACATGTGCCACCAGGTGCGGCTGCGAGTGGCGGAGTGCTACGTGGCATTGAAGGAGGTCAAACCCGCCCTCACAGAGGTGTGTGGTGTGTGGTGTGTGGTGTGTGGTGTGTGGTGTGGATGGTCAATCCTGTCTACCGGGCCAATCAGGCCAGTCAGGCCAATCAGGTCGATCAAGTCAACCGAGTCAATCAAATCAGCTAGGTCAATCAGGTCAAACAAGTCATTAAGTCAGTCAAGCCAATCACGAGCACCTTTACGAGCAGAATCCTGCTTATGTCCTTTTATTGGATTTGCAGCACCTCAACCCTCTGCTCGCCTGCCTCTCATTGCTCTCCTGACCACCGCTTTGCCTGTGGCCCTCCATCCCCCTCCCCCTCTCAGCTAGAGGCAGTGCCTCACCACCTGCGATCACTGCGTCTCAATCCACTGCGCGCTCGCCTCTATAACACGCTTTACCTCTCTTCGCTCGCCTCTATAACACGCTTTACCTCTCTTCGCTCGCCTGCCCTCCCCTGTCCCTTCTACCCTCCCTTCCCGTCACCCCTTCAGCTGGAGGCAGTGCCTCACCGCCTGCGCTCGCTGCGCCTCAACCTGCTGCTCGCCCATCTTTACACCTTTGTCAAACCTCTCCACCCCTCTTCCTTCCCACCCTCCTCCTTTCACACCCCTCTTCCCCTCTTCATCCTTCCCTCTCTCTCAGCTGGAGGCAGTGCCTCACCGCCTGCGCTCGTTGCGACTCAACCTGCTGCTCGCCCGTCTCTACCGCTCCAGCAGCTACGACCGCGCTGCACTCGCTGCATATAAGGAGTGCCTCAGGTGCGTACTGCTGCCGCAGGTAGACCCATTCTCTGTCTGCCCTTTACACCGCCTTAAACAGTGTCCCTCTATTGCTCCAGCAGCTACGACGACAACGCTGCCCTCGCTGCATACAAGGGGTGTCTCAGGTGTGTGTTGCGACGTGATGTTTTGTTTGAGAAGTCTCAAAACAAATTTGATTTTCGTGTTGTGAGACGTCTCAGAAAAGGAAGTCATTTGAAAGCCCTCGCCCCGCTTAACCCCTCTTCCCCCCACTCCTCATGTCCCTCACCACCAGGCAGCACCCAATTGCAATGGAGCCAGTAAAGACAGTGGCCCAGCTGAGCTGGATTGTGGACAAGCCACTCTCCTCTGTGCCGTTTTAAATCTTTCTGTAACTCCGTCGTACCCCTGTTCACCCCTCCCCACCACCAGGCAGTGACCGTTTGCAATGGAGGCAGGCACTGACAGCAGTGGCGCAGCTGGGACTGTAGCCACACGCTTCTGATCCATCCCGGCACCCCCAGCATTTCCCCCACTCACATGTTACCCCCCTCACACCCCTCTTCACCCCTACACACCACCGGGCAGTGCTCGTTTGTTATGAAGGCAGTGACAGCATTGACCTAGCGGGACTGTCTTCAAGCCACACTCCTCCATGCCGACCACTCACTCCCTTTAACTCCGCCACACACCTCTCAACCCCTCCCCACCACCAGGCAGTGCCCGTTCGCCATGGAGGCAGTGACAGCAGTGGTGCAGCTGGGGCTGACGGCAAAGGAAACCTGCGCCCTGCTGCCACAGCAGGAGGTGAGTCCTGGTCCGGAACGACTGCTGCCGCAAGCGACACCACTAGCAGTCTTTTTTCGGGGCGCTTCAAAAACAGCTGGGGCTGTCGGCGAAAGAAACCTGTGCCCTGCTGCCCCAGCAAGAGAGCCTCCGGGATTATTTCAGCAAAAGAAAAGCTCCAGGAGTATCCAGTCCAGAGATGCTTGAGGGTTCATTATTCCGTGATGGTATCACCTTGACGGTATCAAATCTCACCTGACTCTCTGTAATATCAAATCGACTCCATAATACCGTTTAGTCACATGCATGCACCGAGGTTCAAGGTTGCAGCTGGTACATCTCAGTAGTTGGTTGATTTGTTTTAAGTTAGCACAGATGTCACCACATGCGCACCAATAGGAGGACCAATAGCTCAGGCTGTAAGGAGCAAGCCTCATTCCCCCTGCCAATCTGAATGCGTTTTCTGAGAATTCTTGAATTATGAATTCAGCCTAACAACTTAACGGAGGGTGAATTCGCACATCCTACATCTAATGAATTCAGCCATTAGTCACCACACGCGCACCTTTAGGAGGACCTGTAACAGGCTGCGAGGATCAAGCCTCATTCCTCCTGCCAACCCTCCCCTTCTCTATCTGTCCTCCCCATCCTCTCCATCCATCCCACCCTCCGTACGCTCCCCGTCCCCCCCACCCATCCCACCCTCTCCACCTCATTCCCCCCCAGCCCCTCCCCAGCACACCCAGCAGCAGAGGGGGCAGCAAGGCACCTCGTTCCCACTTCATGCTCTCGCCATCCCCCCGCCAACCCCCCCTGCTCTTCCCGTCCTCCCCACCCTCCCCACCTCATTCCCCCCAGCCCCTGCCCAGCACACCCAGCAGCAGAGGGGGCAGCAAGGCGGGAGCAACAGGGGAAGTGCACGAGTCTTGTAAATGGCTGCAGGTAGTGACTGTATGAGGTGGTGACTGTATCAGGTAGTGACTGCAGCTGGTAGTGACTGTAGCAGGTAGTGCCTGTGTCGGATGGTGACTGTATGTGGCAGCGAAAGTATCAGGTAGCTATTGTATCAGGTAGAGTGACTCTATTAGGTGGAGCGACTGTAGCAGGTGGTGATTATGGTTGTGAGTGTATTAGATAGTCACAGTATCTGGTAGGGAGTCTATGAGATAGTGATTGTATAAGGTGGTGACTGTAGCATAACCCAGTGCTCCAGGCTGCAGGCTGCAGCACAGGAACAAGCGCATCTACTAATGCCTTCTTTTGTGCATGGGCGTGGGCATGGGCGTGGGCATGGGCGTGGGCATGGGCGTGGGCATGGGCGTGGGCATGGGCGTGGGCATGGGCGTGGGCATGGGCGTGGGCATGGGCGTGGGCATGGGCGTGGGCATGGGCGTGGGCATGGGCGTGGGCATGGGCGTGGGCATGGGCGTGGGCATGGGCGTGGGCATGGGCGTGGGCATGGGCGTGGGCATGGGCGTGGGCATGGGCGTGGGCATGGGCGTGGGCATGGGCGTGGGCATGGGCGTGGGCATGGGCGTGGGCATGGGCGTGGGCATGGGCGTGGGCATGGGCGTGGGCATGGGCGTGGGCATGGGCGTGGGCATGGGCGTGGGCATGGGCGTGGGCATGGGCGTGGGCATGGGCGTGGGCATGGGCGTGGGCATGGGCGTGGGCATGGGCGTGGGCATGGGCGTGGGCATGGGCGTGGGCATGGGCGTGGGCATGGGCGTGGGCATGGGCGTGGGCATGGGCGTGGGCATGGGCGTGGGCATGGGCGTGGGCATGGGCGTGGGCATGGGCGTGGGCATGGGCGTGGGCATGGGCGTGGGCATGGGCGTGGGCATGGGCGTGGGCATGGGCGTGGGCATGGGCGTGGGCATGGGCGTGGGCATGGGCGTGGGCATGGGCGTGGGCATGGGCGTGGGCATGGGCGTGGGCATGGGCGTGGGCATGGGCGTGGGCATGGGCGTGGGCATGGGCGTGGGCATGGGCGTGGGCATGGGCGTGGGCATGGGCGTGGGCATGGGCGTGGGCATGGGCGTGGGCATGGGCGTGGGCATGGGCGTGGGCATGGGCGTGGGCATGGGCGTGGGCATGGGCGTGGGCATGGGCGTGGGCATGGGCGTGGGCATGGGCGTGGGCATGGGCGTGGGCATGGGCGTGGGCATGGGCGTGGGCATGGGCGTGGGCATGGGCGTGGGCATGGGCGTGGGCATGGGCGTGGGCATGGGCGTGGGCATGGGCGTGGGCATGGGCGTGGGCATGGGCGTGGGCATGGGCGTGGGCATGGGCGTGGGCATGGGCGTGGGCATGGGCGTGGGCATGGGCGTGGGCATGGGCGTGGGCATGGGCGTGGGCATGGGCGTGGGCATGGGCGTGGGCATGGGCGTGTGCATGTGTGCATGTGTGCATGTGTGCATGCATGGGTGTGTGCACGGGAGCATACATGGGTGCATGGGTGCATGCATGGGGGTGCATGCATGGGTGAGCAGAAGTATGTGGAGGCACAGGCACACCGAGCAGCCAATGAGAACGCAGGTGAGAACAGGAAGAAAGTAACTTAGTAACACAGCCATGCAGGCAGATAGTACATGTAAGGACTACAGCGTACATAAGGCTTGCAGTGTACAGCACATAGGGCATACTCTTTTAGCAATGTTTGTTTTTGAGAGCCTATGAAAGCTTATGAAAGCCTATGAAAGCCTATGAAAGCCTATCAAAGCCTATGAAAGCCTATGAAAGCCTATCAAAGCCTATGAAAGCCTATGAAAGCCTATGAAAGCCTATGAAAGCCTACTGGATTACCATGCGAGTCGTCCATTTTGATGTCAATGATTTTCCCGCTGGTTACAGTGTAACCATATTACACTGTAGAAGCTGGTTGAAATATCTCACACCCCTCACCCGTCAACCCCCCCGCCCCTCACCCCTGTCACACTCTCCCATGCCCATCATCCCATGCCCATCCTCCCATGCATCCCACACGTCCCTCACCCCGTGGCATGGCAGCCAGTGTGGACGAGTATCAGCAGCTGGTGACTCGCTTCCCCAGCAACGTGCACCTGCACCTGCACATGGGGCAGGTGGGTGAGTGACCTTCCGAGGAGTGTTTTGACTTTTGGGGCGCCTTACAATTCGTGCACCTGCACCTGCACAGCACATGGGGCAGGTGGGTGAGTGACCTTCAAAGTGTCCTCAATATGTCCCAGCAATCGTCATCCCCTGTCCCATGCTCCATGTTTCATGCCCTGTGTCATGCCCTGTGTCATGCCTTGTGTCATGCCTTGTGTCATGCCCTGTGTCACGCCCTGTGTCATGCCCTGTGTCATGCCCTGTGCTGTGCTTCTCGCATCCCCATCAGGTGGAGGCATCGCAGGGTCGCAGTGAAGAGGCCATGCTTCACTACCAAAAGGTGAGGCCATGCTTCACTACCAAAAGGTGAGGCCATGCTTCACTACCAAAAGGTGAGGCCATGCTTCACTACCAAAAGGTGAGGCCATGCTTCACTACCAAAAGGTGAGGCCATGCTTCACTACCAAAAGGTGAGGCCATGCTTCACTACCAAAAGGTGAGGCCATGCTTCACTACCAAAAGGTGAGGCCATGCTTCACTACCAAAAGGTGAGGCCATGCTTCACTACCAAAAGGTGAGGCCATGCTTCACTACCAAAAGGTGAGGCCATGCTTCACTACCAAAAGGTGAGGCCATGCTTCACTACCAAAAGGTGAGGCCATGCTTCACTACCAAAAGGTGAGGCCATGCTTCACTACCAAAAGGTGAGGCCTTGCTTCACTACCAAAAGGTGAGGCCATGCTTCACTACCAAAAGGTGAGGCCATGCTTCACTACCAAAAGGTGAGGCCATGCTTCACTACCAAAAGGTGAGGCCATGCTTCACTACCAAAAGGTGAGGCCATGCTTCACTACCAAAAGGTGAGGCCATGCTTCACTACCAAAAGGTGAGGCCATTCTTCACTACCAAAAGGTGAGGCCATGCTTCACTACCAAAAGGTGAGGCCATGCTTCACTACCAAAAGGTGAGGCCATGCTTCACTACCAAAAGGTGAGGCCATGCTTCACTACCAAAAGGTGAGGCCATGCTTCACTACCAAAAGGTGAGGCCATGCTTCACTACCAAAAGGTGAGGCCATGCTTCACTACCAAAAGGTGAGACCATGCTTCACTACCAAAAGGTGAGGCCATGCTTCACTACCAAAAGGTGAGGCCTTGCTTCACTACCAAAAGGTAAGGCCATGCTTCACTACCAAAAGGTGAGGCCTTGCTTCACTACCAAAAGGTGAGGCCATGCTTCACTACCAAAAGGTGAGGCCATGCTTCACTACCAAAAGGTGAGGCCATGCTTCACTACCAAAAGGTGAGGCCATGCTTCACTACCAAAAGGTGAGGCCATGCTTCACTACCAAAAGGTGAGGCCATGCTTCACTACCAAAAGGTGAGGCCATGCTTCACTACCAAAAGGTGAGGCCATGCTTCACTACCAAAAGGTGAGGCCTTGCTTCACTACCAAAAGGTGAGGCCATGCTTCACTACCAAAAGGTGAGGCCATGCTTCACTACCAAAAGGTGAGGCCTTGCTTCACTACCAAAAGGTGAGGCCATGCTTCACTACCAAAAGGTGAGGCCATGCTTCACTACCAAAAGGTGAGGCCATGCTTCACTACCAAAAGGTGAGGCCATGCTTCACTACCAAAAGGTGAGGCCATGCTTCACTACCAAAAGGTGAGGCCATGCTTCACTACCAAAAGGTGAGGCCATGCTTCACTACCAAAAGGTGAGGCCATGCTTCACTACCAAAAGGTGAGGCCATGCTTCACTACCAAAAGGTGAGGCCATGCTTCACTACCAAAAGGTGAGGCCATGCTTCACTACCAAAAGGTGAGGCCATGCTTCACTACCAAAAGGTGAGGCCATGCTTCACTACCAAAAGGTGAGGCCATGCTTCACTACCAAAAGGTGAGGCCATGCTTCACTACCAAAAGGTGAGGCCATGCTTCACTACCAAAAGGTGAGGCCTTGCTTCACTACCAAAAGGTGAGGCCATGCTTCACTACCAAAAGGTGAGGCCATGCTTCACTACCAAAAGGTGAGGCCTTGCTTCACTACCAAAAGGTGAGGCCATGCTTCACTACCAAAAGGTGAGGCCTTGCTTCACTACCAAAAGGTGAGGCCATGCTTCACTACCAAAAGGTGAGGCCATGCTTCACTACCAAAAGGTGAGGCCATGCTTCACTACCAAAAGGTGAGGCCATGCTTCACTACCAAAAGGTGAGGCCATGCTTCACTACCAAAAGGTGAGGCCATGCTTCACTACCAAAAGGTGAGGCCATGCTTCACTACCAAAAGGTGAGGCCATGCTTCACTACCAAAAGGTGAGGCCTTGCTTCACTACCAAAAGGTGAGGCCATGCTTCACTACCAAAAGGTGAGGCCATGCTTCACTACCAAAAGGTGAGGCCTTGCTTCACTACCAAAAGGTGAGGCCATGCTTCACTACCAAAAGGTGAGGCCATGCTTCACTACCAAAAGGTGAGGCCATGCTTCACTACCAAAAGGTGAGGCCATGCTTCACTACCAAAAGGTGAGGCCATGCTTCACTACCAAAAGGTGAGGCCATGCTTCATTACCAAAAGGTGAGGCCATGCTTCACTACCAAAAGGTGAGGCCATGCTTCACTACCAAAAGGTGAGGCCATGCTTCACTACCAAAAGGTGAGGCCATGCTTCACTACCAAAAGGTGAGGCCATGCTTCACTACCAAAAGGTGAGGCCATGCTTCACTACCAAAAGGTGAGGCCATGCTTCACTACCAAAAGGTGAGGCCATGCTTCACTACCAAAAGGTGAGGCCATGCTTCACTACCAAAAGGTGAGGCCATGCTTCACTACCAAAAGGTGAGGCCATGCTTCACTACCAAAAGGTGAGGCCATGCTTCACTACCAAAAGGTGAGGCCATGCTTCACTACCAAAAGGTGAGGCCATGCTTCACTACCAAAAGGTGAGGCCATGCTTCACTACCAAAAGGTGAGGCCATGCTTCACTACCAAAAGGTGAGGCCATGCTTCACTACCAAAAGGTGAGGCCATGCTTCACTACCAAAAGGTGAGGCCATGCTTCACTACCAAAAGGTGAGGCCATGCTTCACTACCAAAAGGTGAGGCCATGCTTCACTACCAAAAGGTGAGGCCATGCTTCACTACCAAAAGGTGAGGCCATGCTTCACTACCAAAAGGTGAGGCCATGCTTCACTACCAAAAGGTGAGGCCATGCTTCACTACCAAAAGGTGAGGCCATGCTTCACTACCAAAAGGTGAGGCCATGCTTCACTACCAAAAGGTGAGGCCATGCTTCACTACCAAAAGGTGAGGCCATGCTTCACTACCAAAAGGTGAGGCCATGCTTCACTACCAAAAGGTGAGGCCATGCTTCACTACCAAAAGGTGAGGCCATGCTTCACTACCAAAAGGTGAGGCCATGCTTCACTACCAAAAGGTGAGGCCATGCTTCACTACCAAAAGGTGAGGCCATGCTTCACTACCAAAAGGTGAGGCCATGCTTCACTACCAAAAGGTGAGGCCATGCTTCACTACCAAAAGGTGAGGCCATGCTTCACTACCAAAAGGTGAGGCCATGCTTCACTACCAAAAGGTGAGGCCATGCTTCACTACCAAAAGGTGAGGCCATGCTTCACTACCAAAAGGTGAGGCCATGCTTCACTACCAAAAGGTGAGGCCATGCTTCACTACCAAAAGGTGAGGCCATGCTTCACTACCAAAAGGTGAGGCCATGCTTCACTACCAAAAGGTGAGGCCATGCTTCACTACCAAAAGGTGAGGCCATGCTTCACTACCAAAAGGTGAGGCCATGCTTCACTACCAAAAGGTGAGGCCATGCTTCACTACCAAAAGGTGAGGCCATGCTTCACTACCAAAAGGTGAGGCCATGCTTCACTACCAAAAGGTGAGGCCATGCTTCACTACCAAAAGGTGAGGCCATGCTTCACTACCAAAAGGTGAGGCCATGCTTCACTACCAAAAGGTGAGGCCATGCTTCACTACCAAAAGGTGAGGCCATGCTTCACTACCAAAAGGTGAGGCCATGCTTCACGGCCATTCACTACCAAAAGGTGAGGCCATGCTTCACTACCAAAAGGTGAGGCCATGCTTCACTACCAAAAGGTGAGGCCATGCTTCACTACCAAAAGGTGAGGCCATGCTTCACTACCAAAAGGTGAGGCCATGCTTCACTACCAAAAGGTGAGGCCATGCTTCACTACCAAAAGGTGAGGCCATGCTTCACTACCAAAAGGTGAGGCCATGCTTCACTACCAAAAGGTGAGGCCATGCTTCACTACCAAAAGGTGAGGCCATGCTTCACTACCAAAAGGTGAGGCCATGCTTCACTACCAAAAGGTGAGGCCATGCTTCACTACCAAAAGGTGAGGCCTTGCTTCACTACCAAAAGGTGAGGCCATGCTTCACTACCAAAAGGTGAGGCCATGCTTCACTACCAAAAGGTGAGGCCATGCTTCACTACCACAAGGTGAGGCCATGCTTCACTACCAAAAGGTGAGGCCATGCTTCACTACCAAAAGGTGAGGCCATGCTTCACTACCAAAAGGTGAGGCCATGCTTCACTACCAAAAGGTGAGGCCATGCTTCACTACCAAAAGGTGAGGCCATGCTTCACTACCAAAAGGTGAGGCCATGCTTCACTACCAAAAGGTGAGGCCATGCTTCACTACCAAAAGGTGAGGCCATGCTTCACTACCAAAAGGTGAGGCCATGCTTCACTACCAAAAGGTGAGGCCATGCTTCACTACCAAAAGGTGAGGCCATGCTTCACTACCAAAAGGTGAGGCCATGCTTCACTACCAAAAGGTGAGGCGCCTTGCAACTCATTCCTTCCTTTGCTGTTGTACCACTCGTCCCATTTTCCAGTCCCTCCCATTCCACCAGCAGCACCAGCAGCACCAGCAGTACCACCAGCACCACCAGCATTAGTAACCCCCCTTTTCTCCCTTCCCCTCGAGGCTTGCACTCTAGACCCTTTCAATGTGGCCTGTGTGGATGACTATGCTCTGCTCCTCATGATGCTGCTGCTGCTGCCGCTGCTGCTGCTGCTACCTTCCCCACTTTCTCTCCCCCCCCCCCCCCCCCAACATCCCCCCCAGGCGCGCACCCTAGACCCATTCAACGTGGCCTGCATGGACGACTACGCACGTCTCCTCTTCTCCCGCCACTCCCTGCTGCTTCGTCCGCTCATTGCATTCCACCTTCTCATCCCTACCCCCTCCCCCCCTCAGGCTCGCACCCTAGATCCATTCAACGTGGCCTACATGGACGACTGCGTGCTTCTCCTCCTCTCCCGCCGCTCTTTTGCCGCTCATTGCATTCTTAACCCCTCCCCCCCTTCAGGCCCGCACGCTAGACCCATTCAACGTGGCCTGCATCGACGACTATGCCCTTCTGCTGCTGGTGCTGCTGGTGATGTTATTCTCACTCATCTCATCCCAACCATCTCTACCCCCTCCAACCCCCCCTTCAGGCCCGCACGCTAGACCCCTTCAACGTGGCCTGCATGGACGACTATGCCCTTCTGCTGCTGCTGGTGGTGCTGCTGGTTCTCCTGGTGGTGGTGCTGTCACACGTCTCTCCTCACCTCCCATAGCTACCCTCTCTCCCCCCTCCCCCCACAATTCCCTCAGGCGCGCACCCTAGACCCATTCAACGTGGCCTGCATGGACGACTATGCTCTCCTCCTCCTCTCCCGCCGCTCCCCCTCCGCCTCCTCCGCCCTCTCCCTCCCCAACCTGGGAGCAGGGGGGGCGGGGGGAGCGGGGGGAGCAGGGGGGGCGGAGCTGAGGAGGCTGACAGCGGAGATGGTGGGGGTGGGGGCAGGGAGGGTGGAGGCATGGGTGGTGGCGGCAGCGCTGTGGATGAGTCGTGGGGAAAGAGGCAGTGCACTGGCATATGTGGATAAGGTGGGTGTTTGGGATGGGGTGGGGGATATGGGGGGAGCAGGGCAGGGTGGAGGCATGGGTGGGGGCGGGGAGGGTGGAGGCATGGGTGGGGGCGGGGAGGGTGGAGGCATGGGTGGTGGCTGCGGCTCTGTGGATGAGTCGTGGGGAAAGAGGCAGTGCGTTGTGTGAAGATTGGAAATTGAACCATTTGCTTGATTAGGAAATTGGGCAAGCATACATAGGTTTGGGAAGAGAAGGTTGGAAGGGAAAGAAGGGAGGTGGGATTGGGGGAGTGGGCCAACCTATGGCCCATTGGGTTAGGTTGACCACACTTGGGGAAGTGGGGCAACCTATGGCCCATTGGGTTGCATTTGGGGGCTCCACCACAATTGGGTTGGATTGGCACCCCAAAATGCAAGACTACACCCAAAGTTGGGTGTAGTCCCAACCCAACTGTACACCACAATTGGTGTACAGTCACAAGTGTTAGCATGCTAGAACATGGGAATTCTAACACGTTGGCTTATGTGGACAAGGTGGGTGAGGAGAGTTCTTTTGGGTTGCCTCAGAGATCGCCTAGCTTCATGAGGGGATATGGTGGCTAAGGGGGCTGACAGGGGAGATGGTGAGGGTGGGGGCGGGGAGGGTGGAGGCATGGGTGGTGGCGGCCGCGCTTTGGATGAGTCGTGGGTAAAGAGGTAGTGCGTTGGCATATGTGGATAAGGTGGGTGGGTGAATGGGTGGGTGGTTGTATAGATGAAGGGAGGGCAGGGAGGGTAGAGGCATGGGTGGTGGCGGCTGCCCTGTGGATGAGTCGGGGGGAAAGAGGCAGTGCGTTGGCTTATGTGGATAAGGTGGGTGGGTGGATGGGGTGGGTGAGTGCATGTATGAGTATCCTGGGTGGCTGTATGAGGACGTGGCGGCTGAATGAGGGCATGGTGGCTGAATGAGGCCATGGCGGCTGAATGAGGGCATGGCGGTTGAATGAGGGCATGGCGGCTGTATGAGGGCATGGCGGCTGAATGAGGGCATGGTGGCTGAATGAGGGAATGGCGGCTGTATGAGGGCATGGCGGCTGTATGAGGGCATGGCGGCTGTATGAGGGCATGGCGGCTGTATGAGGGCATGGCGGCTGTATGAGGGCATGGCGGCTGTATGAGGGCATGGCGGCTGTATGAGGGCATGGCGGCTGTATGAGGGCATGGCGGCTGTGTTTCCTGCTCCCCATCCTTATCACACTCCCCTCTCACGCTTCTCATCCACCCTCATGCCCCTCACCTGCCCTCTTCCTCCCCCGGTCCATCCCCAGGCTCTTCAACTGGACGACCATCACTTCCCTGCTCTCCTCGCTAAGGTGCGCCTACCCCACCCTCCCCCACCTCCCCACCCGCCCCAACCTCCCCACCTGCCCCAACCTTCCCTCCCTCCCTCCCCACTCTCCCCACCCTCCCCACCCTCCCCCCCCTCCCCACCCTCCCCACCCTCCCCTCCCTCCTCCCCCTTCCCTCCCTACCATCCCTCTTACCCTCTCACCTTCTCACCCTTTCGTCGCCACGCTATTTTGATATGAACTGCCACGCTATACTTTACCCCAACTCCATCTCTCTTCATGCCATGTGCACTGGTTGGTTCTTCTTTTTTTGAGTCGACTGCTGCTCACTGGAATTATGTCAGAGGATCTGCCATGTGCACTGCTCACTGGAATTATGTCAGAGGATCTGCCATGTGCACTGCTCACTGGAATTATGTCAGAGGATCTGCCATGTGCACTGCTCACTGGAATTATGTCAGAGGATCTGCCATGTGCACTGCTCACTGGAATTATGTCAGAGGATCTGCCATGTGCACTGCTCACTGGAATTATGTCAGAGGATCTGCCATGTGCACTGCTCACTGGAATTATGTCAGAGGATCTGCCATGTGCACTGCTCACTGGAATTATGTCAGAGGATCTGCCATGTGCACTGCTCACTGGAATTATGTCAGAGGATCTGCCATGTGCACTGCTCACTGGAATTATGTCAGAGGATCTGCCATGTGCACTGCTCACTGGAATTATGTCAGAGGATCTGCCATGTGCACTGGTTGGTTCTTCAGACTTCTTCAATCCATCCCTCCCTCCTTCCTCCTCTCCCCTCCCCCCTCCGTCCCCATCAGGGCGCCATTGTGATGCAGGCTGAGCGGTCACAGTCAGCAGCAGGGAGTTTTCGAGACATACCCCCCTCTGCCTTCCCCCCCGCCTGCTTCTCCCCCTCTCCCCCGAACCCCCACCGGGGCGCCATTCTGCTGCAGACTGAGCAGTCTGAATCAGCAGAAGTGGCTCCAAAGTCAAGCATTCCCCTCAGGCATTCGCTCATATCCACCCAACCCCTCTCCACCCCTCTCCACCCCTCTCCACCCCACCTTCCCCCCCACCCCCATCCCCATCAGGGCGCCATTCTGCTGCAAACCGAGCGGTCGGAATCAGCAGCAGTGGCGTCTGCAGCAGCTGCCATTTTTCGGAGGGCATACACGCAGAAGCAGGACCTGCGGGTGTTCCAAGGTGGGTACAGAGAGGGAAAGCGTGGTGGGTCGGTGGGGAGTAGGGAGTAGAGGAGGAGATGAAGGGAGCCTACACCCAGACAGCAGTCTTTTTCCGGAGGGCATACACACAGAAGCAGGACCTGCGGGTGTTCCAAGGTGAGGGGGGTAGCGCGGCGCGGTGGGGGGGAATGGGGAAGGTTGTAAGGCGCTTCAAAGGCAGCAGCCAATTTTCGGAGGGTAGTGGAGGGGAAGGAAGGAGGGTGGTAGGGTGTGTGTGTGTGTGCTAGGATGAGGTGAAAGGAGGTCTAAACGCAGAAGCTGGACCTATGGGTGTTTCAAGGTGGGTAAGGGGGGGGGGGAGGGGAGGGGGGGTGTAAAGTGTCTGTGTGTGTGCTAGGATGAGGTGAAAGGAGTTCTAAACGCAGAAGCTGGACCTGTGGGTGTTTCAAGGTGGGTAAGGAAGGGTGGGGGGATTGGTTGTAGTGGGGGAAAATGATAAGGGTGCTTCAAAAGCAGCAGCCCTTACCCGGAGGGCTTATATGCAGAAGCAGGACCTTCGGTTGTTCCACTAACTCCCTCTGTCAATTTCTGCTCAATCCGAGCCTACCGATGCTCTTCTGCCTGCTGGACCCCGACCTCCCATCCAGGTCTGGTCCGAGCCTACCTTCGGATTCCGAAGCTGAAGGAGGCCATAGCGGCAGCTCGGGAGGCAGTCAAGGCGTTTCCCAACTCTGCCAGCGCGTTGTCTCTTCTGGGGGAGGTGTATCTGCAGCACAGCGACAGCAGGGACAAGGTAACATAACCACGCTCTTTTCCTCTTTTCATTCTGATCTGCGTGTTTCTAGAACGTTTTCTCCCTCGTTTTCTTGTTGACTGTACGGTCCCTTTCCACTGCTGTGAGAATTGACTTGCTGTGAGAATTGACTTGCTGTGAGAATTGACTTGCTGTGAGAATTGACTTGCTGTGAGAATTGACTTGCTGTGAGAATTGACTTGCTGTGAGAATTGACTTGCTGTGAGAATTGACTTGCTGTGAGAATTGACTTGCTGTGAGAATTGACTTGCTGTGAGAATTGACTTGCTGTGAGAATTGACTTGCTGTGAGAATTGACTTGCTGTGAGAATTGACTTGCTGTGAGAATTGACTTGCTGTGAGAATTGACTTGCTGTGAGAATTGACTTGCTGTGAGAATTGACTTGCTGTGAGAATTGACTTGCTGTGAGAATTGACTTGCTGTGAGAATTGACTTGCTGTGAGAATTGACTTGCTGTGAGAATTGACTTGCTGTGAGAATTGACTTGCTGTGAGAATTGACTTGCTGTGAGAATTGACTTGCTGTGAGAATTGACTTGCTGTGAGAATTGACTTGCTGTGAGAATTGACTTGCTGTGAGAATTGACTTGCTGTGAGAATTGACTTGCTGTGAGAATTGACTTGCTGTGAGAATTGACTTGCTGTGAGAATTGACTTGCTGTGAGAAGTGACTTGCTGTGAGAAGTGACTTGCTGTGAGAATTGACTTGCTGTGAGAATTGACTTGCTGTGAGAATTGACTTGCTGTGAGAATTGACTTGCTGTGAGAATTGACTTGCTGTGAGAATTGACTTGCTGTGAGAATTGACTTGCTGTGAGAATTGACTTGCTGTGAGAAGTGACTTGCTGTGAGAATTGACTTGCTGTGAGAATTGACTTGCAGTGAGAATTGACTTGCTGTGAGAATTGACTTGCTGTGAGAATTGACTTGCTGTGAGAATTGACTTGCTGTGAGAATTGACTTGCTGTTAGAATTGACTTGCTGTGAGAATTTACTTGCTGTGAGAATTGACTTGCTGTGAGAATTGACTTGCTGTGAGAATTGACTTGCTGTGAGAATTGACTTGCTGTGAGAATTGACTTGCTGTGAGAAGTGACTTGCTGTGAGAAGTGACTTGCTGTGAGAATTGACTTGCTGTGAGAATTGACTTGCTGTGAGAATTGACTTGCTGTGAGAATTGACTTGCTGTGAGAATTGACTTGCTGTGAGAATTGACTTGCTGTGAGAATTGACTTGCTGTGAGAATTGACTTGCTGTGAGAATTGACTTGCTGTGAGAAGTGACTTGCTGTGAGAAGTGACTTGCTGTGAGAATTGACTTGCTGTGAGAATTGACTTGCTGTGAGAAGTGACTTGCTGTGAGAAGTGACTTGCTGTGAGAATTGACTTGCTGTGAGAATTGACTTGCTGTGAGAATTGACTTGCTGTTAGAATTGACTTGCTGTGAGAATTTACTTGCTGTGAGAATTGACTTGCTGTGAGAAGTGACTTGCTGTGAGAATTGACTTGCTGTGAGAATTGACTTGCTGTGAGAATTGACTTGCTGTGAGAATTGACTTGCTGTGAGAAGTGACTTGCTGTGAGAAGTGACTTGCTGTGAGAATTGACTTGCTGTGAGAATTGACTTGCTGTGAGAATTGACTTGCTGTGAGAAGTGACTTGCTGTGAGAAGTGACTTGCTGTGAGAATTGACTTGCTGTGAGAATTGACTTGCTGTGAGAATTGACTTGCTGTGAGAATTGACTTGCTGTGAGAATTGACTTGCTGTGAGAATTGACTTGCTGTGAGAATTGACTTGCTGTGAGAATTGACTTGCTGTGAGAAGTGACTTGCTGTGAGAAGTGACTTGCTGTGAGAATTGACTTGCTGTGAGAATTGACTTGCTGTGAGAATTGACTTGCTGTGAGAATTGACTTGCTGTGAGAATTGACTTGCTGTGAGAATTGACTTGCTGTGAGAATTGACTTGCTGTGAGAATTGACTTGCTGTGAGAAGTGACTTGCTGTGAGAAGTGACTTGCTGTGAGAATTGACTTGCTGTGAGAATTGACTTGCTGTGAGAAGTGACTTGCTGTGAGAAGTGACTTGCTGTGAGAATTGACTTGCTGTGAGAATTGACTTGCTGTGAGAATTGACTTGCTGTTAGAATTGACTTGCTGTGAGAATTTACTTGCTGTGAGAATTGACTTGCTGTGAGAAGTGACTTGCTGTGAGAATTGACTTGCTGTGAGAATTGACTTGCTGTGAGAATTGACTTGCTGTGAGAATTGACTTGCTATGAGAAGTGACTTGCTGTGAGAAGTGACTTGCTGTGAGAATTGACTTGCTGTGAGAATTGACTTGCTGTGAGAATTGACTTGCTGTGAGAAGTGACTTGCTGTGAGAAGTGACTTGCTGTGAGAATTGACTTGCTGTGAGAATTGACTTGCTGTGAGAATTGACTTGCTGTGAGAATTGACTTGCTGTGAGAATTGACTTGCTGTGAGAATTGACTTGCTGTGAGAATTGACTTGCTGTGAGAATTGACTTGCTGTGAGAAGTGACTTGCTGTGAGAAGTGACTTGCTGTGAGAATTGACTTGCTGTGAGAATTGACTTGCTGTGAGAATTGACTTGCTGTGAGAATTGACTTGCTGTGAGAAGTGACTTGCTGTGAGAAGTGACTTGCTGTGAGAAGTGACTTGCTGTGAGAATTGACTTGCTGTGAGAATTGACTTGCTGTGAGAATTGACTTGCTGTGAGAAGTGACTTGCTGTGAGAATTGACTTGCTGTGAGAATTGACTTGCTGTGAGAATTGACTTGCTGTGAGAATTGACTTGCTGTGAGAAGTGACTTGCTGTGAGAAGTGACTTGCTGTGAGAATTGACTTGCTGTGAGAATTGACTTGCTGTGAGAATTGACTTGCTGTGAGAATTGACTTGCTGTGAGAATTGACTTGCTGTGAGAATTGACTTGCTGTGAGAATTGACTTGCTGTGAGAATTGACTTGCTGTGAGAAGTGACTTGCTGTGAGAAGTGACTTGCTGTGAGAAGTGACTTGCTGTGAGAATTGACTTGCTGTGAGAATTGACTTGCTGTGAGAATTGACTTGCTGTGAGAATTGACTTGCTGTGAGAATTGACTTGCTGTGAGAATTGACTTGCTGTGAGAATTGACTTGCTGTGAGAATTGACTTGCTGTGAGAAGTGACTTGCTGTGAGAAGTGACTTGCTGTGAGAATTGACTTGCTGTGAGAATTGACTTGCTGTGAGAAGTGACTTGCTGTGAGAAGTGACTTGCTGTGAGAATTGACTTGCTGTGAGAATTGACTTGCTGTGAGAATTGACTTGCTGTTAGAATTGACTTGCTGTGAGAATTTACTTGCTGTGAGAATTGACTTGCTGTGAGAAGTGACTTGCTGTGAGAATTGACTTGCTGTGAGAATTGACTTGCTGTGAGAATTGACTTGCTGTGAGAATTGACTTGCTGTGAGAAGTGACTTGCTGTGAGAAGTGACTTGCTGTGAGAATTGACTTGCTGTGAGAATTGACTTGCTGTGAGAATTGACTTGCTGTGAGAATTGACTTGCTGTGAGAATTGACTTGCTGTGAGAATTGACTTGCTGTGAGAATTGACTTGCTGTGAGAATTGACTTGCTGTGAGAAGTGACTTGCTGTGAGAAGTGACTTGCTGTGAGAATTGACTTGCTGTGAGAATTGACTTGCTGTGAGAATTGACTTGGTGTGAGAATTGACTTGCTGTGAGAAGTGACTTGCTGTGAGAAGTGACTTGCTGTGAGAATTGACTTGCTGTGAGAATTGACTTGCTGTGAGAATTGACTTGCTGTGAGAAGTGACTTGCTGTGAGAAGTGACTTGCTGTGAGAATTGACTTGCTGTGAGAATTGACTTGCTGTGAGAATTGACTTGCTGTGAGAATTGACTTGCTGTGAGAAGTGACTTGCTGTGAGAAGTGACTTGCTGTGAGAAGTGACTTGCTGTGAGAATTGACTTGCTGTGAGAAGTGACTTGCTGTGAGAAGTGACTTGCTGTGAGAATTGACTTGCTGTGAGAATTGACTTGCTGTGAGAAGTGACTTGCTGTGAGAAGTGACTTGCTGTGAGAAGTGACTTGCTGTGAGAATTGACTTGCTGTGAGAATTGACTTGCTGTGAGAATTGACTTGCTGTGAGAATTGACTTGCTGTGAGAATTGACTTGCTGTGAGAATTGACTTGCTGTGAGAATTGACTTGCTGTGAGAAGTGACTTGCTGTGAGAAGTGACTTGCTGTGAGAATTGACTTGCTGTGAGAAGTGACTTGCTGTGAGAAGTGACTTGCTGTGAGAATTGACTTGCTGTGAGAAGTGACTTGCTGTGAGAAGTGACTTGCTGTGAGAATTGACTTGCTGTGAGAATTGACTTGCTGTGAGAATTGACTTGCTGTGAGAATTGACTTGCTGTGAGAAGTGACTTGCTGTGAGAATTGACTTGCTGTGAGAATTGACTTGCTGTGAGAATTGACTTGCTGTGAGAATTGACTTGCTGTGAGAAGTGACTTGCTGTGAGAAGTGACTTGCTGTGAGAATTGACTTGCTGTGAGAATTGACTTGCTGTGAGAATTGACTTGCTGTGAGAATTGACTTGCTGTGAGAATTGACTTGCTGTGAGAATTGACTTGCTGTGAGAATTGACTTGCTGTGAGAAGTGACTTGCTGTGAGAAGTGACTTGCTGTGAGAATTGACTTGCTGTGAGAATTGACTTGCTGTGAGAATTGACTTGCTGTGAGAATTGACTTGCTGTGAGAAGTGACTTGCTGTGAGAAGTGACTTGCTGTGAGAAGTGACTTGCTGTGAGAATTGACTTGCTGTGAGAATTGACTTGCTGTGAGAATTGACTTGCTGTGAGAAGTGACTTGCTGTGAGAATTGACTTGCTGTGAGAATTGACTTGCTGTGAGAATTGACTTGCTGTGAGAATTGACTTGCTGTGAGAAGTGACTTGCTG